CTCGATTTTTATCGCGCGACATCTAAACCCCACCTTGAATTTGTGACCGTGTAGCATGTACTACGATACTGAAACTGAATAAATCTGAATAGCTGTGCAACCAGTTCACTTTGTCTCTATCCGTGTCTCCGTAATGATTAGGCAAGACATACAGCGTATCGTTTCACCAATGCGATCTGTGAAAAAGACCCAGAGACGTGTGAACGCAGTGCGAGAATACTTTATTGTATGTGGCAGCACACAACCCTGGGAAGCAGAATGGTCCATTGTCCCAAGATTTTGCATGTATTTTCATGCACGCACTACACATTTCTGTCACCAGAGGATGACATCGTTGCCGTGCCACCGTTATCCCTCACACTACCCTCGGGTCCCGGCGACCCGAGCGTAGGATTCCCCTCACTCCCGCCGTCCTCGGGTCAACCTGTGTAACCCTAACGCGGCCCCCGCTGTCTTCGGTCTCTGAAACACGTTCTCCTCCCAGCTGTACTCGGGTCCCGGGAAACACAAGCTATTTTTACCCTGCTCGCTGACCTCTGGGCTCAGAAACACACTGTCCCTGGCCTTTCCCCTGTCTTTGGGTGTCAGAATCACGTTCCCCTCCCAGCTGTACTCGGCTCCCGGGAAACACAAACTCTTTTTTGCCGTGCTCGCTGCCCTCTGGTCTCAGAAACACACTGTCCTTCGCTATCGCCGCTGTCTTTGGGTGTCAGAAACACGTTCTCCTCCCAGATGTACTTGTGTCCCGGGAAACATAAGCTCTTTTTTTACCCTGCTCGCTGACCTCTGGGCTCAGAAACACACTGTCCTTTGTTGGTCTCACTGTCCTTTTCTGGTCTCAGAAACACACTGTCCCTGGCCTTTCCCACAGTCTTTGGGTGTCAGAAACACGTTCTCCTCCCAGCTGTACTCGGATGCCAGGAAACACAAGCTCTTTTTTGCCCTGCTCGCTGACCTCTGGGCTCAGAAACACACTGTCCTCTGCCTTTCCCCTGTCTTCTGGTGTCAGAAACACGTTCTCCTCCCAGATGTACTCGTCTCCCGGGAAACATAAGCTCTTTTTTTACCCTGCTCGCTGACCTCTGGGCTCAGAAACACACTGTCCCTGGCCTTTCCCCCTGTCTTTGGGTGTCAGAAACACGTTCTCCTCCCAGATGTACTCGTCTCCCGGGAAACATAAGCTCTTTTTTTACCCTGCTCGCTGACCTCTGGGCTCAGAAACACACTGTCCTTCGAAACACACTGTCCCTGGCCTTTCCCTGTCTTTGGGTGTCAGAAACACGTTCTCCTCCCAGATGTACTCGTCTCCCGGGAAACATAAGCTCTTTTTTTACCCTGCTCGCTGACCTCTGGGCTCAGAAACACCCTGTCCCTGGCCTTTCCCCTGTCTTTGGGTGTCAGAAACACGTTCTCCTCCCAGATGTACTCGTCTCCCGGGAAACACAAACTCTTTTTTGCCCTGCTCGCTGCACTCTGGTCTCAGAAACACACTGTCCTTCGCCATCGCCGCTGTCTTTGGGTGTCAGAAACACGTTCTCCACCCAGAAGTACTCGTGTCCCTGGAAACATAAGCTCTTTTTTGCCCTGCTCGCTGACCTCTGGGCTCAGAAACACACTGTCCTTTGTTGGTCTCACTGTCCTTTTCTGGTCTCAGAAACACACTGTCCCTGGCCTTTCCCCCTGTCTTTGGGTGTCAGAAACACGTTCTCCTCCCAGCTGTACTCGGGTGCCAGGAAACACAAGCTCTTTTTTTGCCCTACTCGCTGACCTCTGGTCTCAGAAACACACTGTCCCTGGCCTTTCCCCTGTCTTTGGGTGTCAGAAACACGTTCTCCTCCCAGCTGTCCTCGGCTCCCGGGAAACACAAACTCTTTTTTGCCCTGCTCGCTGCACTCTGGTCTCAGAAACACACTGTCCTTCGCCATCGCCGCTGTCTTTGGGTGTCAGAAACACGTTCTCCACCCAGAAGTACTCGTGTCCCTGGAAACATAAGCTCTTTTTGCCCTGCTCGCTGACCTCTGGGCTCAGAAACACACTGTCCTTTGTTGGTCTCACTGTCCTTTTCTGGTCTCAGAAACACACTGTCCCTGGCCTTTCCCACAGTCTTTGGGTGTCAGAAACACGTTCTCCTCCCAGCTGTACTCGGGTGCCGGGAAACACAAGCTCTTTTTGCCCTGCTCGCTGCCCACTGGGCTCAGAAACACACTGTCCCTGGCCTTTCCCCCTGTCTTCGGGTGTCAGAAACACGTTCTCCTCCCAGCTGTACTCAGGTGCTAGGAAACACAAGCTCTTTTAGCCCTGCTCGTTGCCCTCTGTTCTCAGAAACACACTGTCCTTCGCCATCGCCGCTGTCTTTGGGTGTCAGAAACATGTTCTCCTCCCAGATGTACTCGTGTCCCTGAAAACATAAGCTCTTTTTTGCCCTGCTCGCTGACCTCTGGGCTCAGAAACACACTGTCCTTTGTTGGTCTCACTGTCCTTTTCTGGTCTCAGAAACACACTGTCCCTGGCCTTTCCCCCTGTCTTTGGGCGTCAGAAACACGTTCTCCTCCCAGCTGTTCTCGGCTCCCGGGAACACAAACACTTTTTTGCCCTGCTCGCTGCCCTCTGGTTTCAGAAACAAACTGTCCTTTGCTGGTCTCACTGTCCTTTTCTGGTCTCAGAAACACACTGTCCCTGGCCTTTCCCCCTGTCTTTGGGTGTCAGAAACACGTTCTCCTCCCAGCTGTACTCGGGTGCCGGGAAACACAAGCTCATTTTTGCCCTGCTCGCTGCCCTCAGGTCTCAGAAACACAGCTCATTTGCCCTCGCCGCTGTCCTCGGGTCTCAGAAACACACTCTCTCTGCCCTCTCTGCTTGAGTAGAGCTAGGTTGACGTCTAAGCTTGCTAGGAAACACACTCTCTCTGCCCTCTCCGCTTGAGTAGAGCTATGTTGGCCTCTAAGCTTGCTATAGATCTTGAAACAGTGTTTATCGCTATGTTCACCTCGGCCTCTTCTTTCTATCTGACCAGGGTCAGTTTATTCTCTCGTTCCATGGGGTGCATGTACAATTGAAAAGACATCAGATTTGTCCTACTTTTCAACATTGAAAACAGGTCGATCTTGTCCTACTTTTCAATGTTGAAAACAGTTCGATCTTAGACGTTGAACAGGCGTAAACCTTCAACGTCTAATTACAATCCACAGCACACAACCCTGGGAAGCAGAAAGGTCCATTGTCCAAATATTTTGCATTTATTTTTCATGCACACACTACACATTTCTGTCACCAGAGGATGATATCGTTGCCGTGCCACCGTTATCCCTCACACTACCCTCGGGTCCCGGCGACCCGAGCGTAGGATTCCCCCTCACTCCCGCCGTCCTCGGGTCAACGGCTGGGTTAGATGCCGAGGTGGCGAGTTCGAGCCTCGCCCGGGGCGGTGTTTTTTTTTGCCCTACCAGCACACAACCCTGGGAAGCAGAAAGGTCCATTGTCCAAATATTTTGCATGTATTTTTCATGCACACACTACACATTTCTGTCACCAGAGGATGATATCGTTGCCGTGCCACCGTTATCCCTCACACTACCCTCGGGTCCCGGCGACCCGAGCGTAGGATTCCCCTCACTCCCGCCGTCCTCGGGTCAACCTGTGTAACCCTAACGCGGCCCCCGCTGTCTTCGGGTCTCTGAAACACGTTCTCCTCCCAGCTGTACTCGGGTCCCGGGAAACACAAGCTCTTTTTGCCCTGCTCGCTGACCTCTGGGCTCGATTTTTATCGCGCGACATCTAAACCCCACCTTGAATTTGTGACCGTGTAGCATGTACTACGATACTGAAACTGAATAAATCTGAATAGCTGTGCAACCAGTTCACTTTGTCTCTATCCGTGTCTCCGTAATGATTAGGCAAGACATACAGCGTATCGTTTCACCAATGCGATCTGTGAAAAAAGACCCAGAGACGTGTGAACGCAGTGCGAGAATACTTTATTGTATGTGGCAGCACACAACCCTGGGAAGCAGAATGGTCCATTGTCCCAAGATTTTGCATGTATTTTTCATGCACGCACTACACATTTCTGTCACCAGAGGATGACATCGTTGCCGTGCCACCGTTATCCCTCACACTACCCTCGGGTCCCGGCGACCCGAGCGTAGGATTCCCCTCACTCCCGCCGTCCTCGGGTCAACCTGTGTAACCCTAACGCG